CCATTCATTGACCTTCACACCTCATATGTTATTCTGTTGTTCCTTTGAGTCTCCAGGCTATTGACTTCACTGTGCATACTTCTGTTTTAGTCATCACTGAGACTTTCAGATGAGAGATACAGTATGTTGTTCTCTTCCTTGATACAACCTAGTTTCCTCTCGGTAGCCATTCTGATTCTCCACCCTAGCTAATGCATATTTCCCAAGTAAAGCTTCTTCTTCACTTCTACCCTGGAGGACCCTGGGACCTCTGACCTGGGACTATTCCCACTTGTCTCATTCCAGCAATGTAAAACTACTTAAATTTCCTAAGTAAGGCATGTTCTGTCTTGCTTCAGCATCGTAATATACACTGTTCTCTTCCTGGAACAATTCTCCTATGTCCAGGTTAATTTCTCCTACTTCAAATCTCAGGTCAAGCATTACCTTCTGGAAAGCCTACACTGACTACTCTGGAACTCCATGCCCCTTGTTGATGCATCCATGGTGCACTCTACACAGTTTGATGATCACTTGCTCCACTCTACTGGCACTGCAAGACATCTATGAATCCCTCGCACCTAAACTAGTGATTTTACATGTCAGGTTTCCAATAAATATTTGTTGAATAAATGAAAAAGTAGAATTATACTTTACTTACTTTCAAAAACAAATTCAACCCTCTTATATTGAAATTTGTAAAAGAGAAAGGAATACAGAGAGATAGAAACATCGATGGGAGAGAACGTCAACTGGCTGCCTCCTGCATGCCCCCCACTGAGGATCAAGCCTACAGCCTGGGCATGTGTCCTGACTGGGAATCAAAACGGCGACCTCTTGATACATGGATCGCTGCTCAACCACTGAGCCACATGAGCCAGGCTTTACTTTTTTTTTTTTATTTATTGATATGAAAGAGAGAGAAAGAGAGATATCTATTTGTTCCACTTATTTATGCATTCACTGTTTGATTCTTGTATATGCCCTGATCAGGGATCAAACCTGAAACCTTGGTATATCAGGATAATCTCTAATCAGTTGAGCTACCCAGCTAGGGCCCAGCTTTACTTCATTATATTCCACAAATGAGTGAGATCATGTGATATTTGTCTTTTTCTGCTTGCTTCACTTAGCATAATACTCTCCAGGTCCCTCCATGTCGTCTCAAAGGATAAGGGATCTTTCTTTCTTACAGCTGCATAGTACTCCATTGTGTATATGTACCACAGCTTTTTATCCATTCATCTACTGATGAAAACTTGGGCTGTTTCCAGATCTTAGCTATTGTAAATAGTGCTGCTATGAACATGGGGGTACATATATTCTTTCTGATTGGTGTTTCAGGCTTCTTAGGGTATATTCTTAGAAGTGGGATCATTGGGTCAAATGACAATTCAATTTTTAATATTTTGAGGTAACACCATAGTGTTTTCCATAGTGGCTGCACCATTCTGCATTCCCACCAGCAGTGTACTAGAGTCCCCTTTTCTCCACACCCTCGCCAACACTTGTTGTTTGATGTGTGGTCCCTTTTTTCAAGATGAAGGTCAGAGGCTTTTCTAAGTAAAGTTCACTCCTCATCCCTAACCCTGCAGGGTAGACTGCAGTTTGGGGTCTAAACTGTAAACCTCACAAATATCAGGCACTTCTGTTGGTCCTTGGATGAGCCTGCTATGAGGCTCTCTTGGGTGGTGTAATTCAAGACCTGGGAAAAAAGGACAATTACTAGAAAGCAGAACTACTGGAATCTTGAAGACATAATTCTCCTGTTTGGCCAAGGGTTTGGGACATTTAGACTTTTACAGGACCACCTGATTAAGAGCTTATTCAAGACCAGTGTTCCACAGGATGTCAATACTGGGATAAATAGAGTCAAATAACTTTCTTTACTGTGTGTGGACTGCCAGGAGTCTACTGCTAGAAGTCTTTCCTGTGCTCATGAGTATTGAGCAAAGACATGGTCATGTAGCTTTCCCAAACTTACAGGAAACTTTTTTCTGGACCTATTAATAGTAGCAATACTTCTTGCAACATTTACTCATGAATCACTGAGTTAGTTTCCCATTAGTCCCCTGGTATCCTCACCAAGGTGGTTTTACCCAACATAAACTAAGTGGGGCCTGGTAATTCTCTGACCTTCAGGTCACCGATAATTGGACCTTTATTTTCTAAACTGCTTATAGTTTGCTTTTTTGGTAATTTATCCCATTATTAGTGAAAATAAGATGAACACAGTTCTTTTATGAGACAAGGGAGTCAAAATTAAGTGGGAGAAATTTAGTTAAAGATTGAAATGTTTTTACTGTTGAACTATCCATGTGTCTTATGTATTAATATCACCAAATTAAAAAAGAAATATATGGATATAATATTCATATGAAATAATTTTAAATATGCAAAAACCCCCATAAAATTAATATAACAAGGTTAAGATAAAATTTTTGAAATAGGCCAAGACATTCTAAATAAAGCCTCCCATTTACCAAATTTCTTCTGTTTATTTACCTCAATTTTACCATCTACTGTTCCTGCTCATAGCATACCAAAGATGAAACAGGGTAACTTATAATATGAAAAACATGTATTACAAGTGAGTCATAAAATTGAAAAATAGCTACTTGCCAGAAGCCACATGAATTTTGGAGGAAATGTATTTTCTACAGGGATGATTTGTCATAGGAATAGCAAGTATTTATTAAAAGCATCAAAATGGTGAATAAGTGACCCTGAAGCAATAAAGAGTCCTCCTTCAGAAGCATAACATATATCAAATAATTTATTTTGAAACTAATCAGTTTTAATTACTTTTAGGTGAAGGACAAAATCTGAAAAAGATTCTGTGAAACAGAAACAGTAACTTATGTATGCAGACACCACTTTGATTTTTATTGAATATGGACCTTCCTTACATTTATACATTTACAAAGTCATAATCTTTTACTCTGCTAGGAGGCATTTTGCTGCAGAGGATCTGCTTTCCTTCCTAATGACTGCATCTGCTCTCTACTAGTATCGCATCTCCTTGTAGCCTAGTAGTGGGATTCAGAGGCATGCTATCATTTTGATCCTACAAGAGGGAAACAGCAACAGCTGCTTTATTTCCTGGAAACTCTTTCCAGAAGCCAGAAACACTAGGAAATTTTCCAAAATGACATATGGAGAGAGGGGGCTAAAACTGCCCCTACCTATCTAGGAGTTGGTATGGCCTGAGAGGGAATAAGAAGGGCCCCTCCCCACAAAAGCCATTTCTTAGCTACTGGACTAGATAGATAGTATTCTTGCTTCAGCATTCCATAAATCTCTTAAGAGAGAAGGAAAATTGTGATGGGAAATTTTGTTCACCATTCAGTAATGGCAGCAGTAAGCAAAAACAGAGTTTACTACAATAACAAGAACTTAGAACAGGACCTGGTACACAGTGTCATGTAAATGTTTGTTTATTCAAATGTTATTACATGTTCTTTGGAAGCACATTTTAAAAGGCTGCAATATACCATTGAATAGATATAGTATCATTTACCTAATTGTTCTATCATTGTTTCAGTTTTTCAATGTTATAAATAACTTTTAATGAACATGTAAATACTGTTCTTTCTAGTTTGTGTGCATTTTTGCTGAGCAGTTACATGCTTTTTCTGCTATAGCCTGTACCTTTTGGGAGTTATTGAAGCCATCAAGTGGCTTGGCTCTTACTTCAGAGGAGCATGGCTAACTGGAAAGGGAATGGTTTTCCTAATGACCTCATTTTATACCTTGCTCAAGGCAATAGAGGCGGCCTATGAAAGTATAGTTCCCTTAAACTGAATATATTAGACTATAATGTTTTAGGCAGGGACACCTTCTATTACCAGAAGCTAGAAACATCTGAGAGATAAATTGATTATTGGTGTGAACCTTCTCAAGTTTCAAGAAAGCATGCTGGAGCCTGGCTGATGTGGCTCAGTAGATTGAGCATTGACCCATGGACTGAGAGGTCCCGCTCAGGGCACATGCCCGGGTTTCGGGCTCGATCCTCAGTAGGGAGTGTGCAGGAGGCAGCCGATGGATGTTTCTCTCTCACATGGATGTTTCTCTCTCTCCTTTCTTCTCTAAAAAATCAATGAAAACATATTAAAAAGCATGCTGTACATGAGCACAGAGCATTTCCTGAAGCTTAATGATCATCTAGGATTAATGTTGGCCTTCAGCAGACTCATGATTAACATTTCTAAACAGGTTATTAATTTCCAGGAAATGCTTAGTATATTGATTGTTTGCTTAATTGGAGAAATGAATAATTTAGTAAAGGATAATTACATAAATTTGAACAGACTGTTTTCTAACATGCACACCCTAGTGAGCACTTGGTAAATGAAAAAAAAGTTAAGGTGTTTTGTTTGCTTTTTAAATTGATTTCAGAGAGGGAGAAAGAGATAAACATTGGTTGGTTGCCCATTGTCTGCGCCCCTACCAAGGATTGAACCCACAACCTAAGTATCAAATTTGTGACCTTCTGGTACTTGAGACGATGCTTCAACCAACTGAGCCACACCAGCCAGGGCAAGGTTTTTTAATCGATATGTAATAATGGGTTTTGATGAGCAAAAGAGAGTATCTTTTTATAAAAGGAGAAAAAGAAACTAATATATATATATATATTTTTTTTTTATCCTCACCCGAGGATATTTTTCCATTTTTCGTACAGATAGAGTGGGAGGGAGAGAGAGAGAGAAACATCGATGTGAAGGGACACATCGAGTGGCTGCCACCTGCACGACCAACCAGGGCCGGGGACAAACTGCAACCGAAGTACGTGCCCTTAGCGGGAACCGAACCCGGGTCTCTCCGGACCGCAGGCCGACGCTCTAACCGCTGAGCCAAACTGGCCAGGGCAACTAATATATTTTTAGAATGGGAAAAAACCCAGATAAAGCTAGAGTGGATGACTTTCTTTGGAAAGAAATGTTTAAATTCTCATTTTCAATAACACTGTAACCTTGAACACTTGTTTTAATAAAAAAACTCTCTTCTGTTTTTTGCAGGTCAGAAAGGGTTCTTTGTTTGATATCATTTCCTTTCCAGCAAAGACTGCTTTAACCAGCATAATATATGCTTCATATGCAGCGCTAATTTATTTGGTAAGTTAAGAAAAATTATTAGAATCTAGAAATAAATGTACTTATTTTATGTAATGTTAAAGGTATACTGTACATTCTACTCATAAACCAAGGTACTATATTCTTGTTATACAAAATAATTTTACACTAAAAATTTACTTCAATTCTCTAAAAATAAATTTGCTTAAATAATTTTATTTTTATAAAGTTTATTACCACTTGGTCAAAATATGGTGATTTTGCTTTCATTTAGGTACAGCTGTTTCATTTCAGCCGTTGTGCCACAGTTAGCTAAAATTCAGCATTCCATCGTTTAAATTTGTGATTTGGGGGAAAACAAATATTAGTGTGTTTTGAATTATGAGTGCTATAAATTAAATGTGTATTTTGAATTACAAATGCTATAATTCCAAAGTGTTCATCAAAAAGCATGACAAAAATATAAGATTCTATAAATTATAAGGGATTATTTCTTTTAATCTATTCCTATTTATCCTTACTTTTAAATTAAAAAAAAAAAAGAATAACATACAAAGAGAAAAGTAAACTGCTTGAAGAATTATCACACAATCTATTAACCTATTTATCACACAGGTCAAGAAACAAAATATTCTGAGAAAGCCTCTTTCTTGTTCCCCTCATAATCACTAACCTTATCTATACAGGCAACCACTATTCTGACTTCTAATACTATAGTTCTGTTTGAATTATATATAAATGAAATCACGTACTATATATATATTCTTTTGTATTTGCCCTTTTTGCTCAACACTATCATTTATCTGATGCCTATAGCAGTTTGTTGATTTTCGTTGCTGTGTAGTATTCCATTGATTGACTATATTACTATCCCTTTTACTGTTGAACATTTAGATTATTTACAGTTTTGGCTATTGTGAATAAGGTGCTATGAATATTCTTGTACATATGCGTTGGTGAAATTGCTGGACCATAGACTGTGTACCTATTCATCTCTAGTAGATGTTGCCAGTTTTCCAAAATGGTTTTAACAATTCATCCCAGGAGATTATATGAGTCTCAGTTGCTCAACATCATTACCAACACTTGGTATTGTAAATCTTTTCCATTTTAGCCATTCTTGTGGGTATGTAGTATTATCACATTGAGGTTTTAATTTACATTTCTTTATTAAAGATTGAGTACCATTTTATACATTAATTGGACATTTGTATATCCTTTTTTGTGAATTTCTGTTAAAGTATCTTCTTGTTTTTCTATTTGGATTTGTCCACCCTTTTATTGATTTATACTTTAAAAATATACTAGGAACAAGATCTCTTTTAGTTACACATGGGCAAATTAATTTTATCCTATGATTTGCCTTTTTCTCTCTTATCAGTGTCTTCTAAAACAGAAGTTCTTAATTTTAATGTAGTTCAACTTATTAATTTTTTCCTCTATGTTAATATCTTTGCATATCTTAATTAGGGAATTTTGACCTACATCCAAAGTCATGAAACTCTTACTTCTGATGTATTCTAGGAGCTTTATTATTTTACCTTTCACTTTTAGGTTTATAATACATCTAGAATTGGTATGAAGGATCAAATTTTTCCTCCACGGGTATCTACTTGAACTAATTCACTTTACTGGTGTTTTAAGTTTTTGAGATATGTTGAATATCTTAAATGTGAATTTCACACAGAACTGACATTCAACTCAGCTAGAATGAAAATGCACTGTAAAAAATGGGTAGGATGAATGGCTGTGTTGAAACAAAAAAATGAGTCTAAAATCAAAATTAAACTCTAATTTCTCAAAGGCTTTGAAATCATCTCACATGATTTGTTATGCTATAAACTTTCTAAGTAGGTAATAGAAACAATTTTTGGTTATCTGATAATTGGTCATATATGCATCCAAGCAAGCCTAGGAGTGATCAGGTCTGAAATCATGGTTTTGAAGGCAAATAACATATATTTGGAAGTTAATACTCTGAGTGGAACCATGCCAAGAGTGAAAACTTGACAGAAATGTGAAGAATAGCAACATTTATGATGAGCTTAGTGTCAAAAACAAGCAGAAAACATAAGTAAAATGAAGATTTTAAGTTTCTATTAGATCTAGTAGTAAAGATGGAGTTAATCATCTTGAGAACTATTTCAGTGGTGTGATGTAGGGAAGGTGGAAATAAGCAGGCTTTGGAATGAAGAAGAGATAATAAAACAGAAACCATGAATGTGGATTCTTGTTTGATCAAGAGGACAGTGTATAGCAGTCAAGAGGAAAACAAGATCCATGGATTTAAAAAAAATTTATAATGGAAGATACTTAAATGTGTTATATGTAGCAGGAAGAGCTAGTCAAGAATGAGAGGCTGAAAAGGCAGGTAATAATTGACAGGGAAAATGAAAGGGTATACGTTAAAAGCAAAGATAGATACTGACATTAATCAAGATCCTTCATTTTCTAAAACTGGGACAGAGCGGTTAAAATGGGCACAGATACAATTTTGTAGGCGAGGGAAGCAGAAATGTATCAAATAGGACAGGGCTTCCCAACCTTTTTTCACAGCATACATTACCCAGAAAATGATCACATTTGGGATAAATGCATGAAGCTGTTTGCAGCTGGAAGTGATACACCTCAAGTTATATAGCTCTAGGTTTGGATATACTTAGATTCCAGTAACAAAACAAAACAAAACAAACAAACAAAAAAAACACCTGCAAGTGGCTCAAGCAATACAGACATTTAAATATCCCTCTTAATTAGAAATCTGGAGTCAGGCTGGAATCTCCAGGTTTGTACAGTGGATTTAAAATGTCATCATGAATGCAAGGCCTTTTTACCTTTCTCTCTGCTATCCTGTTTGTTCTTTTTAGTCCTTAGGTTTGCTTGGGTATCACATCTATATCAGTGTCCAAAGCAGGAAGGAGGGGTAGGTAGAGACAAAAGACAGAGAGTTTTTCTTTTTTATAGGAGGAAAATCTTTTTCAAAAGTCCTTCCTGACCTCCTGCCTAGCAGATACATTTTGTTTCTCTGGCCAGAACAGGGTGACATGGTCACACTCTAACTTGCAGGCAGGTTAAGGGAAGCATCTGACATTTACCCATTCTATAGGGGGAGGCCAGAAAAAAGGAGGAGTCTGGAGGTCAGGAGGAAATCGAGGCTTTCCAAGCCAAGGTCCTCGTTCCTTTCTTGTTACTTTCTGAAAACCTTCCAAGTGTTTATAGCCAATTATCACTGGTAAAATAGGCTAGTCTAGGTCTTTTCATAGTTTGTGAATTTTATTATTCTTGTGGCATCATTATCTTCATCATCAGTAAACTTACAGAATAAGTTTAACAGAGTGTTCTTAGTGATTCTGTTTTTGAAATTATTTTTCTCTGTATGTTTTGACACTTTCCTAAATTACTAAATGACCTTTTTTAAGGGAGAGTGGATCACATTTGTTTAGAAGTCATTGATTTACCAGCTTACTAAATTTTTACCAAAATGATTGTGACCTTCCAGTTGTACACATAGGTATAAGCAAAGTCCAGGGGGTAAAAAGCAAAAACAAAAAGCCTATTGTGAGTTATTAACATGTTGGGGACAAATTTCATCTCTCAGATAATTTCATTTAATTAAATCAGGGGAATAATGGAAATACTTCATTTAATTAAATCAAAGAATGTATAAAATAATGAATTGAAATAAAGACATAAAGTATGTCTTTATTGAATCACACTAGATTTTAATTTTCTTTCTAGATTATGGTGTAATATATTTGGAGCAAGGACTCAATTTCTTAATGTTTATCATATGCCAGGGGTTCCTGAAAGGAAGTGCTTCTTTATTAGAATATGTAGATTAATAACTTTATATTTAATATTTTATTGGACTTTTTATCTGCAAGTTTAGTAGCTTAAAAAGAAAGTTTATTTTTCAAAAAATTTTTTCAATATTAGACAGTCTGTGTTAATGCCGTTCTGGAGAAGGTAAAGAAAATTTTCCAAGAAGAAGAATCCATAAGGCAAAGCAGAGAGGAGAGCGAAAATCTTAGAAGAGCCTTTTCTGAGCCTGTGCTTTCTGAGCCTACTTTTCCCGATGGTGAAATCAAAGCAAAACCGTATAGGTCATTAACAGAGAATCCAGGCAATATTTCAGATCTTTTTGCTAATAAGTTGAGTAATAAGATCCAAGTTTTACATTCTGTGTTTGACCAATCAACTGAAATAAATGAATGAGCAAATCTGAAAATAAATATCACTGAACAGCTTAAGAGGTATCTATCTAATAACATTTCATCTGACAAAACTAGGGAAGTAATTTATGTTTTTAAAAAGGGTGGGGAGGAACAAATAAAATGCCATTCTCAAGTTTTTATATGGTAGAGAAAACAAAATTAATCTTGATGTAGAATATATGTATGACTATCTGATATTTTTTAATGAACAAGAAAATGTACCCTTTGGTGGGTTAGACTTTATGCTATGGTTTATAATATAGGAGTATGTATAATATATTTATGCTTTTATTAGAGACTTATTCAAATATCTTTCTAATTATTTTTCTGGGAGGGAAAAAACCTTCTCTATCAAAATGCTACATATCTTTTTTTAGAGATATTTTTCTGAGGACATTTGTTTTCTTTTTCTTTTTTCTTTTTTGTTACGTTTCTCCGCCCCCCCCCCCCACTGACTCCCTCCGTCCTATCCCCTCCCACCCAGTCCCCAGTTTTGTTGTCTATGTCCATCAGTTATGCATAGATGCATATAAGTTCTGTGGTTTATCCCTTCCTCCCTTCCCCCCTTCTGAGGAATGTCAGTCTGTACCCTACTTCTATGTCTCTGGGTCTATTTTGTTCATCAGTTTGTTTAGTTCATTATATTCCAGAAATAAGTGAGATCATGTGATATTTGTCTTTCTCTGCTTGGCTTGTTTCGCTTAGGATAATACATTCCAGGTCCCTCCATGTCGTCTCAAAGGATAAGAGATCTTTCTTTCTTACCGCTGCATAGTGCTCCATTGTGTATATGTACCACAGCTTTTTTATCCGCTTGTCTACTAATGGGCACTTGGGTTGTTTCCAGATCTTGGCTATTTTAAATAGTGCTGCTATGAACACAGGAGTACATTTGTTTTCTATCTACAGGATGCAGAGTTTGAGTCTGCCTATTATCACTTCTTTTATAACTCATGTATAAAGTATGATTGTCTTGAAATTCATAGATGTCAGAACTTTATAAACCAGAATGTTATTTACAAATTTGATGAAATTTCTGTATATGAGGACAGGACTTGACATGACATTTTTTATTTCCAGATTTAGAGTAACAAATGTAAAACCAGAAATCAAGTCCATATTACTCATTGTTGCCTCTGGATCCTGAGAGAAAATGCTTCTGTAATTGACCATGCATACAAGCGCCATGGTTTTGCCTGCAGGAGGTACTTGGGCTTCTTTCATGCATTTAAAATTCTGGCCAAGTTTTAAGACCTGACTGGTCATTGGCGGACTAGCACCTAATATAAAAGGCTTGGATGTGTTCATCCCAGAGATGGTATATTCACTATACCTGGTGAGTAGCTGCTGTCATAAACAGTATTTATACAAAGCCCAAGCCTGGTTCTTTAGTAGCAGTCTGATAAATGAGTAGCAAGTGTTGCATTACCTCATGCTACTCATATTCCAACAGAAAAAGGAATGTAATAATATGCAGCAAAGCGCTCTGTAAGCAGAGCCTTAATGATACTTGAGTCACTTATTATTTTTACAATAACCAAGGGAAAGAGTCCAGGTGGGTCCCTTAGAATCCCAAGCATTAGGTTTGGACCCTTAATTCAATCCTATGCCTCTAAGAAGATTATTGCGCTTTGAGACTAAGTTTCAGACAGTTTTTCTCACTCCGAATTCATATTCTGCTCATTACAGCTAGGTCTTTCTGGTTTCCCTTATTCTTACATTCTGTGTGCTGCCATGTTTTAGATGACCAGCAGCCAGGTGTTATAGTACAGTGTGGACACCAGGCAACCAGAATGCACTGGCCCAAAATTACTGACATGGTAAAAGCAGGGTAAACCACTTAACATCAGCTCAGCAGAAAGGACTCTGGGAAATAATACCCTGTATCTCTTCTCTCTGTAACATTTTCATGAAACACTTAGTTGTACATACATGGACAAAGTTCTCTAAAAATAAAAAACAAAAACTCTTTCTTTGAAAATTTCATATAGGCATTCAAAGTACTTTGGCTCACTGAATAGCAGACCTATCTCCCATGACTGGGTAGCAGCTGTGTGTGTCTTCCTACTTTGAGACTATTTGTCTTGGCCAGAGAAAAACTGAGCCAAGGTTTATTTGGTTCTGATGTCCAGTACACTGATAAGTTTCTTACTTTTAAATTCAGCATGTAAACTTACCCCATTTCTGGATGCAATTTTTAAGTGCAAAAAGTCTGCCATATACATATTTGGAAAGACAGAAGTTAAGATTTAAGCATTTCGACGTATCTAAATTTTACCTTATAAAAGTAGAAATAACAATCAAATAGGAGAGGTAGGGAGGCGTGGAAGTACCACTGAAACAAGAATGGAAGAATGCTGAAACTGGTGAAGTTGGATGATGGGAGTTTATTATATAATTCTGTTTACTTGGTATATATTAAACTTTCCATGATAAAACCTTCTACATAAAATAGGGATCCCCCTCCAAATTTTTCTTAGTAGATCTTATTTTATACCTTTTATTTTAATTACTTCAAATTACTTTTACCCTTTTTAAAATGCACACATCAGACCTACAGCCTTCAGATTCTAATCCAGAGGCCTGGATGAAATGTATTCCATAGATCCTCATCATAATCCTTATATCATACTTAGTACCTGTGCTTTTGAACTTCTCAGATTTATATGATTTTTAAAGATAAGTAATATGCCTATGTTGGAAAAAATTAATCATCTTTGGTATTGAAGCAAGGTTATTTTAAAAACACATACATTTTTCATTGTCAATTATTTTATCAGGAAGAACTCTTAATTACTTTGAAGTCTCCAGTGGCATAAAAATCAGAATCACAGTTAAAAGGTTCTTTTGAAAGTGTCACATAAATATTCCCACTGTCCACTGTCACTGTATGAATCCTTTGCTTTATTCCTTTAGAACACCACTTGGGTTTTGCTGATGGATCTTTAGGGTTTTTAGACTGATACAGTCCTTCTCCTGTTGCCAAAGTAATTTTGTATTTATGCCAGGGGCAAACTATACACGGTCGTCCATCAAAATCCTGGGGAAGAAAATCATTGATTTAATAGTTTGACATTTCCAATGTTCACAATAAATCTCAGATTCAGAAAAGAATCTATTGCAGAAGAACCAGGTTAAAGATCAAGTGAGCTTTTCCTTTTTCCTCCCATTGAGAAATGATTCAGCATAAGGCAGAACCTAATCTTAGCAGGCATCAAGTCCCTCTGGCTGTTGATGAGAAACCCTATGTGTTAGAGCTCTGTCAGAAGATCACCAGCTCAGCAGCTATACCATGTTACTGCAACTGTGCTATTATTATCAGATGTCAGTGTCACTTCCCTGACAGAAAGAAGCCAATAGCTTCAGGTGCTTCTTAGGGAATTTTCACTAACTGCTAGAAGAATGGTAAGCTTCAGATATAATTCAAGAGGTTACTAAAGGCATGAATGTATATTAATTGAAGAATGATTTATGATCCAAAGTGGTCAATTCTCAACTTTCTAACTGTATTAAAGTTCTCAAATGTTAAAGAGCATGGGAATCACCAATATCTTTTTTAAAAGCAGATCTTGTTTAAATTCAGTAGGCCTAGGATGGGTGCAAGATTCTGCATTTCCAAGAAGCTCCCAAGTGACACCAATATTTCTGGTCTATGGACCACACTTTTAGTGGCAAGGTCTTACAGCTCTCATGGTCTGAAACTGAGAGAAATTCTACATTTATCATCACCAGGTGCTTCCTTTTTTTTTTTTTTTTTAACACCAGAAGTGCTGGAATACTGATACTGTATCCTCAGAGGACTGTTACCAAACATGCACATTTTCATAGTTTATAAATTAACATCCATTATTTAAATACACGTCCTTTAACATGAGGGCATGTGGGGAACTAGGTAGATATAAAGTATAGAGAGAGTGGAACACTAAGTTTAAGATTATACTTTGTACCAGAAAGAGAGAGAGAGAGTGAGAGAGAATGTGTCAGTTTCATGAAGTAGAAAAACAAGAAATAATGTAGATAGTTTGGGAATGCAAGGAAGTAAGACAGTTTTCTCATTTCTTTCTCAGTTAAGCCTTCAAAGTGTGGTTTCTTTCTCAAAAAATATGTGTTTATATTTATATTACATTATATACTCATTAGAAAAATTTTAATTATGCAGAAGTGTATAAGGTTAAAAATGAATGTTATTTTTATGTGTTATTTGATTATTAAAATTATTAAATTATTATTATTCTATTACTTACCTTTTTCACTCAAAAATAAATTGGTGACATCCTTCCACACCAACACACGCAGATCTGCCTCATTAATTTAATGGCTGCACAGTATTCCATAGCATGGCTATTCATAATTTATTCAATGGTCTTATTGCTAAAACATTTACACTTCTGTCCATTTTTATTACAATAAATAATGCTACAACGACCCCCCTCCTTTATATATTTAAACATTTGTACAATTATATCTGTAGAGTAGATATCTCAAAGTATAATTCCTTGGTCAGAAGACATGCGTACTTCTCACATGTATCTGTAAAATGGTTTTCTTTATATTGTAGGGCTATGGATTCCTAGAATATTAGAGATTATACTAGAAGCATTAAAATATAGTCCAAATCCAAACATAAGTTATTTTTGAATATAGAATGGAATAAGAATATAAGTAGGAAAACATCTGAGTTTTTTGAGAATAGATTTAATTTTACATACCTCTATTTCTCCCAAATGTAAAGGTCCTCCTGAGTCTGAAAGGGAATTAAATATTAAATCTAGTCACTAAAAAAAAAAAAAAACCCACAAAAATCAAAAACCCTGAAATTTTTATAGTTCTATGGTTAATAAACAAACACAAGATTTATGAATGAAAAATAAAATCTTACGGTAACAGCGAATATCCATAGCATGATAGTCTCCTTTGTGGTAGAAAATGACCACTTCTCTATCATGGACAACAGCTGTCATTCTTTCAGATTTCTTAATGTCTTCTTCTCTGCCAACATAGACAGAAGAATATTCCTTCATTTCAGGGTCTTGTTCAGAGCCACCAAGATCCATGCTAGCTGAACCAAAAATAAATAAATAGATAAAATTGCAAGTGGTGTTCACTCTCTTGGCTATAACTTAGAGATAATCATATCGTAAGAGAAATCTGATTTATCTGAGACTGATAGAAGCATTTTTTGTAGCTATATAAATTATAACATTTCTAAATACTGGACTATAGTTAGTTATGATTTTGAATTAGAGACTCTTAAAGCTTGGCAAAATTAGGGAGGACTCCTCACTTTGAAGCTGGACTTGTATTAGATTCATTTCAATGTGTAAGATGGATATTTCAGATTAAAGTTTCACTATCCTTTTATTCCTAAACTCAACGTTAAACAACATTTGGTTGTTATCTTGTTGAAGGTAGGCTTCTCCGATAGTCTGTATAGTCTTGGATCTCTAGGTTGAGGTGGATCATTTGCTGTTTTTGCCTTTTTATTTTATTTTATTTTTTTAATCCTCAATCGAGGACATTTTCCCATTTTTTGTTCAGATAGAGCGGGAGGGAGAGAGAGGAAGAGAGAGAGAAAGAAACATCGATGTGAAAGGGACACATCGAGTGGCCGCCACCCGCACGACCAACCAGGGCCGGGGACAAACTGCAACCGAGGTACGTGCCCTTAGCGGGAACCAAACCCGGGTCTCTCTGTACCGCAGGTCGACGCTCCAACCGCTGAGCCAAACCGGCCAGGGCTGTTTTTGCCTTTTTAAAAATTATGTATTGGTTTCAGGTGTACAGCTTAACAGTTAGACAGTCATAATTTACACAGTGCTCCCCTCGATATTTCCAGTACCTCAACAGGCACCATACATAACTATCACATTATTGACTATATTTCCTGTGACTTGCTTCCCCATTACTATTTTGTAGCGACCAATTTGTGCTTCTTAGTCCCTTCACTTCCTTCACACAGTGCCCCAACACCCCTTACCTCTCGCAACCACTAGTTCTCTCTCTGTGTCTATGAGTGTTTCAACTTTGTTCTTTAGATTCTACATGTAAGTGAAATCATACAGTGTGTCTTTCTCTGACTGACTTATTTCACTGAGCATAACATCCTCTAGGTCCATCCATGTTGTCACAAATGGTAAGAATTCATTCTTTTTGTTGCTAATATTCCATTGTATATATGAACCATAGCTTTTTTTATCCACTCCTGTATTGATGGGCACTTGGGATGCTCCCATAGGCTTGGGTATCGTAACTAATACTACAATGAACTTAGGGGTGCATATATTCTTTCAAATTAGTGTTTTGGGTTTCTCTGGATAAATCCCCAGAAGTGAAGTCACTGGGCTGGCTCACTTAGTTTTGCCTGGCATGGACAGCCAACTCTTACAGATCAACCAGATAACTATTCTAGCAGAAGGGGTAGGTGTGAATGAACACTTTTCACTTTCTTAATTCAGAAATTGTCATTACTTTCTTCCACCTCATTTGGGCATTCAAAGAGATGACATCTCTTCAGTTAATTTATAGTAGCATATAAACTCATATTTCTAAACAAAGAATTAGTAGAGAATTTGAAGGTATTCTAAATATATATTTTTTCTCAGCACAGATATTCAGTCTATTTCTTTGAAAGCAATCCTTTCAAAGAGATCTTTTGTATACTTTAAGGACATAGGCTTCAGGCCTTCTAGTAGTTTCTCTAAATACTTATTTAATCCTGCATGGCTGACTAGAAGTTTGAAAATGTTAGTAGAAATAGACCATTGGTTCATTTAGCTATTTTAAAAAATTGAGGTATAACTAGCCCTGGCCGGTTTGGCTCAGCAGTTAGAGCGTTGGCCTGCAGTCCGGAGAGACCAGGGTTCAGTTCCCTCTAAGGGCATGTACTTCGGTTGCAGTTTGTCCCCGGCCCTGGTTGGGTCCTGCGGGTGGCAACCACTCAATGTGTCCCTTTCACATGTCCCTTTCACGTCAATGTTTCTCTCTCTCTCTCTCTCTCTCTCTCTCTCTTCCCCTCCCACCCTCCCTCCCACTCTGTCTGAACAAAATATGGAAAAATGTCCTCGGGTGAGGATTAAAAAAAAAAAAATTGAGGTATAGCTGATATAAGACATGTTAATTTAAGGTTTAAAACATGATTTGATATTTGTATATATTGTGAAATGATCACTGTAATAAATCTAGTTAACATCTGTTCCCATACATAGTTACAGAATTTCTCTTGTGATGAGAACTTTTAAGATTTCTCTTAGCAACATTTTTTGTTTTTATATGTTTTTTTTTTTTCTTCATTGATTTAGAGGGTGAGATAGAAATACCAGTGAGAGAGAACATCAATTGGCCACTTCCTGCATGACCTCCACTGGGGATTGGGCTCACAACCTGGGCATGTGCCTTGACTAGGAATCGAACTGGCGACCTCTTGGTGCATGGATCGATGCTCAACCACTGAGCCACACTGGCCAGACTCTCTTAGCAAATTTCAAATGAGAGGATGACTCATTTGAAAAATAAGTTCAGCTCTGGCCAGGAGGCTCGGTTGGTTGGAGTCTTGTCCTGCACAACAAAATGTTTTGGGTTTGATTCCTGGTCAGGGAACATACATAAATTGTGGGTTTGATCCCCGATTGGGGAGTGCATGGGAGGCAACCAATCAATCTTTCTCTCTCTAAAAAAAAAAAAACAATCAGTAAAAGTATACCCTTGGGTGAGAATTTTTAAAAAATTAAAGAATAAGTTCATAAAAAAATTATTAGAAAGTAAAATTTCTATGTGAATGTGTACAAATAAGCTTTAGAAAGAAGGAATTTATAGACCACTGTTCTGAGGATAGGAATGAGCCATAGGAAGACAGATATTAGATAGTACGTAAGCCTGAGCTCCAAAACTGAAGTATAGGATGAGGGGTGTGTGTGTGTGTGTGTGTGTGTGTGTGTGTGTGTGTGTGTGTCTCGATGGGAAGAAGCAGGAGCTTTAGATTCAAAGTATAAAGGAAAGCATTATATAAATCAAGTTTAGGAAAGTACAGAGATGTCGTCGTATTTGTACTCTGAAGTTAGCATTGTTAAACTTTGCTCTAACTAGCCTAGTTACTTTTTTTAAAGAATAGGAAAAAACACAGGTTATTTCTGAAAAAATATTTCATAATAATATAAGCAAAAAAAAACACAACACTTTTTTTAAAACCATAATTTTCTGGATTAGCGCTGACAGAAGGCTGGATGCTACATTTCTAAACAGTTTGGAAGATACCCAAAGTGCACAAATTGCTCATGTGGTAGTAATTACTTCCCCAGTGTTGGAAACGTGCAGCCCTGTATCATATTTTGTGACAGAACAGACAGAAGGGCAATAATGATAAGAAAAATGGGAACGGAAACATGAACTGAAAGAAGGGGAAACAGACTGAAGAAAATGAAAGAAACATGGAATTTGAACACATTTAACCAACAACGGATTAGAATACATGAACTCCTATAAACCAGAAAGAAAATGTCAAAAAATCATAGAAAAATGACATAACAAACATTTTACAGATGAGGAAATTTAAATGGAGACTAATCATATGTAAAGATGCTCCACCTCATTCATTAGTAAAAAATGTAAAAAAAAAAGCAAAGCAAAATCACATATGGGATACTATTTTCTATCCAACAGACTAGCAGAAACTTATACAAAGTACTGGTGAGGATATGGAGCAACTGATAGTGATGACATCAATTAGTGCTTCCAATAGTTTGGCATTACCTAGTAAAGTTGAACATATTCATAACCCTATAATCCCATTTTCTGTATATTACAGAGAAACATTCACAGGTACACCAGGAGACATGCTGAAGTAATGTTATAATAGCAAATTAGACAGAGAACAGCTCAGAATGATCAACAGTGGAATGGATAATTTTTGTAGTCAGTCAAAGTAATGTAGCAGTATTATGGCTATATTAAGTTGAATTAATTTCAAAAACGTAACTTTAAATGAAAAAATATTAAATATTTTAGAATATGCTTTCATTTTTATCAAAAACAGGCAAAACCAAACAATATATTATCCATGGACACATGTATATAGAGTAAATTTATAAAGAAAAGCAAGGGGATAGTAAACACAAAATTTTTAAACATTTCAAAGAATTACATTCATTTAGTATTATATCTAAAATTATTTTTTCAATGTTTAAATTGTATCCTACCTTATAATTATGATCCAAAATCCAAGAAAAAGGGGATAAAATGGCACTCTGTATCCTCAGATAATGTGCCTGTACATAGATAATAAATGGACTATTTGAGAATTTTGTACAGCTTATTTAAAAACTTGGCATCAGAGAAGGAAATAAAGGAATAGTTCTCTTACTTTTCTTTTTCCAGGCAAAAACCAGAAAAGAAATAATAGTATCAAGCAAGAGACAAAATACATGAGATGTGGAGTAGCATCAAAAGTTAAATAAGTTCTCTCTGACTCCCAAATAAATGAGAACCTAATACAATCCTCCCTCAAGTTTCAGTCTCTTAGAACATGCAGTCTTTGCAGGGTTTTGCCCTCAATCAAAAAAAAAAAAAAACAACAAAAAAAAAAACTGTAGTGAACTTTGCAGGGGCTGATAGATGAGCAGAGAAAGCTGGGGCTAATGATAAAGGTTTCAGAGAACTATGATTATAGTCTTTCATTTTGCTTAGGAAAGTATTATCTCATCCTTCAAATAACTGTTCCCTCTACGCATCATAAATGGTTCTATTTATTTATGATATCTGGTGACTATTTATAATTAACACTCATATTATTCTTAATTAAATATTGTGAATATCATGATTGGTCCATTCAGAGAACAATAAAAGTCAATATGTTTACATTAGTTACTTTGATGCACTATTCATATGCTCCCTCACAGTTCCTCTATTTTGAATCAACTTTAAGATACTCCAGTCTTCAACTGAATAAAAAGAAAGTGGAAAAAGTAAACAGCTTACCCAGTTTGCAGACCAGATTAAGAAAACTTTCTTCTGAAAAATTTAGCCATTTTGTTCTACAATTCACTCTTCAAAAAATATTTTTTTGACTTGTGACTAAAATTAGGTTTCTAAAGGTGTTAGCACCACCCAAAATTACAAATTAGCTAATTGGATCCTCAGTCTTTTTTAGATACCTTCCCAGATTAGGAAATCCATTCAGGTTGAATTAAAAAAAATACAGTAATTCAGTTTCCATAAGACACAGGATACAAGAGACAAGAAATGAAAGAAACTTAACTTGTTACTCTTCTTGAGCACTGACCAAGATGTTTTTACTAAGTCTGGGGACTTTGTCTACACATTGTCAGGATGCATAGCTCCAGGGTGTCATCCTTGCTTTAAGGTTCAGTGAAGAGAAATGCTTTTTATTTATTTAAATATTTTTCTTGCTCTGGCCGGTTTGGCTCAGCGGTTAGAGCGTCCGCCTGCGGTCCGAAGAGACCCAGGTTCGGTTCCCGCTAAGGGCATGTACCTCGGTTGCAGTTTGTCCCCGGCCCTGGTTGGTCGTGCGGGTGGCAGCCACTTGATGTGTCCCTCACATCGATGTTTCCCTCTCTCTCTCTCTTCCGCTCTCTGCCTCCCACTCTATCTGTGCAAAAAATGGAAAAATGTCCTCGGGTGAGGATTAAAAAATAAATAAATAAATAAATATTTTTCTTTATTGGTTTTAGAGAGAGAGGAAGGGAGAGGGAGAGAGAGAGAGAGAAACATCGATGAGAAAGAACATGGATTGGCCGCCTCCTGCATGCCCCCCACTGGGGATTTGGCCCACAACCTGGGCATGTGCCCTGATCAGGAATCGAACTGGCGACCTCTTAGTGCATGGATGGGTCCAAGCTCAACCAGTGAGCCACAAATGCCTTTAATAGTAGTTTTGTACCATCTCTTGGGATGGCAGAATAACAGAAAAAAACTAGCTATCTTTCAAAGAGTGCCAGTGCTTGGACTCTTTATATATATGAATTCATTAATCCTCACAATACCCCCAAGTGGTATTATATCTGCTTTCCAGATTAGGACAATAGGCGTAAAGGACTCTTTTTAACAAAATCTTACCCAAACTTACAAAGTAGCAGTCAAGATTCAAACCCAGATCTGTGAGTCTAAATTTGTGAATACTGAAATATAAATCCTAACATTTCATGTAAGTAGTATGCATGGACTTATAAAAACACGTGGCCTGCAAGTAAATTATCTTAAAGGTACCAAACCTTTTAGCAAAGTAAAGATTTCTCTCTCTCTCACCATATAGCACCAAAGATGATGGTCCTGAACTTTTTAAAATTTAGGAACGCTAATATGTAAGTTACGTCAACAAATGTTTAAAAAGGAGTTATTTCCCCCAATGATTTAATAAAGTCACGTGGCCCTTCTGGAGTTGCTATGATTGTCTGTGATACCAGCGACGAGATCACCAGGCGAACTCACCTGGGTCTGCCTCCTGCCTCTGCGTGACCTGGGGCGCGTCTGTCTGCCCGTGCGCAGCGAGACAGGCCTGCCACCTGCGGCTCCGGAGAGGGATTAATGCGTCACTGCGGCCAAATGTCCGGAGCAGCGCATGGCCGTGGGAAGCGCGACCCCCTGTTAGCTGTCATCGCTAAGGTCTTTCGGGCTCTGACAGTTTATGGGCACAGGACTTGAAGCTGTTGGGACATGTTAGCAAAGGCCGGAGACAGCTGGGCCGGGCTGTCCGGACGTGGGTGCTCCGCCCGCACACCTCAGGAGCGGAATGCACCCAGGTGGCCGGGACGCAGGGACAGCCTGCCGCGGTTTTCACGGCTGAGAGCGCACTGACGCTGGGGAAGCTTGTGAAAAGCGCCCCGCCGGCCCCACTGAGGCGCAAGTTCGGGGTGCGGCACCGGCTCTTCGGGAAACGAAGTCCGCGGGCCTCACTGTGACGAGGCAGAATGGTTAATTCCGGGGGTTAATGGTTAACCTGCGCAGGGCGGAGGCCCGGGAAGGCCGCAGGGCTCAGGCCGGGGACAAAGTTCACTCAACCTCCAGTCCAGCCAACCCTCGGCAGCCTGAGCCAATGCCGCCGTCGCCGGAAGTCTGAGCCCAGGCCCGCCTCCCAGCCGGAAGCAGCTGCCCTCGCGAGCCCCGCCCCGCGCCCCGCCGCTCAACCCCCCGGCGAAAACTGAACTTACCTTCAAGTTCCCCGCGCCACCTGGGCGACAGCGGCCCGCCGCGGACCCCGCGGAATGCTACTGCGTGAGCCAGGGCTGTGGTCACAGCTCCGAGCCTCCGAGAGGCGGGCCGAGCCCCTCACGTGACCCAGGGGACACGTGACCCAGAGCGCCTGTCCCCGGACCCACTTGACAGCGACAGTGAGCCAACCACGCTCTGCCAGAACCTTCAGGCCTCCAGTCTTACTAACCTTATATTGGCAAACGTAGCTGGCATCCGTTTATTTTGAAATGTTTGTTGATCTCACCAAATTTATCCAAATTTTAAATGCACCCAGCCATCTCTCTTTTAGGAATTTACCTTACAAAAGTATTTGGAAACGTTAGTCACAATGCATGAAATCCACATATAAAGATGTTTTATTGCATGGAAGAATGAGAATAGCTAAAGCGATCAGCAGCTGGGGAATGGTTACATGAGATACAGTGTAGACGTGTGAACTACTTGTAGCCATAGAATGCTATATGTAGTGTGTCTTCTTTAGTGTCAAAGATTGTTTCTCAAGATACAAATATGTAGGTATGTACATAAACTTTTTCTTAAAAAAAAATCTTAATGGTTGCTTGGGGGAGTGATGAAAGAATTTCACTTTCATATTTTGAACTTTGCAGTTTTGTTTTTTCTCTGAATTAAAAAAAACAACACCTCATACTTGGGTTCAAATAGGTTTTTTAAAGTTTTTCCTTGATTGTCTTCTAATGCAATTTTTTTTTTTTTTTTAATATTTTCTCTTTATTGGTTTTAGAGAGGGGGAGAGAGAGAGACATTGACGAGAGAACATCGATTGACTGCCTCCTGAATGTCCCCCACAGGGGATTTGGCCCACAACCTGGGTATGTGCCCTGACTGGGAATCCAACAGGGACCTCTTAGTGCATGGGTTGATGCTCAACCAGTGAGCCACAGGGGCAGAGCTAATGCAGTGGTTCTTAATTAACTCTGGCTATGCCTTAGAGTCACCTGGGCAGTATTAAAAATTCATTTGTGATGCCGAGCCTGGGCAGTATGGTTCAATGGATTCCATGTAGAATCCATTCCATGAGAATGGATTCCTTCTCATCCATGTACTGAGAAGTCCCAGGTCGATTCCAGGTTGGGGCACATACTGGAGTTGGAGTTGCGGGCTCTTCCCTGGTGGGGGGTGTACGGGAGACAGCCAATGGATGTTTCTATCTCTCTCTTCCTTCCTCTCTCTCTAGAAAAATCAATAAAAAATTAAATAAAATAAAATAAAAACTCTTGATGCTGAGATCAATGAAGTAAAAATCTTGAGGGGGGGAGAGAGAAGTATACATTTTTCTAACTTCTCAGGTGATTCCAGGGTGACCTCAAGGCTGAAAACAACCATCTATATTTGATATCTTGACATACTGATCTCAGATCCTTGAGTTGCCCATTGGGCCTGGGGCTGCTGAAACCCAGGAGCTTTGATCATTTACCACAATACACCATGTAAATGACACTTTTTTTTTTTTTTTCTGTGAGCCAAAAATGTAAAAGATTGAGAAGCCCAGAATAATGAATTTGCCTGCAATGCTATTTTCTTTTGATTTCTATTCTGTTCAGTACAGAATTAGGGTGCTGGTCATATTTTATGGGATGATTTCGCTTTTGACCATTTGTTTCACTGATCCAAGCACAAATTAACCATCTAGTTTTGAAGAATCTTTTTACCACTCCCTGGCCAGTGTGGCTCAGTGATTAGAGCATAGGCCCGAGCAATGGAGTGTTGTGGGTTTGATTCCCAGTCAAGGGCACTTACCTGTTTGCAGGTTCAATCCCCACTCTGGGGCACAGAAGGCAACCAATCGATATTACTCTCTCCCCCTCTCTTCCACTCTAAAAATTAATGGAAAAAATATTCTCAAGTAAAGATTAACAACAGTAAAAAAGAATTGCTTTATAATAATAAAATATATTTGGGTTTATTGTAATTTACATTATCTGTTAACATTCCCAAGTTATTTTATTGGCATGTGGAGTATGTTAGCAGTCCTCAGTTGGTGTCGTTGAAGGATGAAATAAAGTTTGCTATTTCTAATGAAAAGTTCTTTCTTTCTTTTACTTTCCTTTTTCGTTTTTTGCTTTGGCAAAAACTGGGCATTAACATAAGACACATCTTAGATTCACTGCCCTTAAATTGAATTTTGAATAAACTTAAGACCTTGGTAGATATGCATGCATGTACACACACACACACACACACACACACACACACACAAGAATGAGAGAGAAATGGAAACTTTAAAAAATCTTCACTTAAAGTATTAATGTCGTGAGTCATGTAAAAGTACAAAATGCTTGGAAAACTGTAGTGGGCAGCTGAAGAAACTTACCTTTGACCACTTCTGTTATACAAATACAGGCACACACCCATACAGTTTAGGCATGCACATGTGTTAAAAGCAGGAACCCAGAAAGTCCATTTGAAAGCCATTACACTTCAGAATAAAATTCATGATATCTACTGCCATTTTACCCCTAGCCCCCTTCCCTCCCTTTTCTTTTTCATTACATTTCCAGCCAGTGTTGGACCTGAGGCTATTCCGAGGCCCTTTCTTCCTCCTTTCAACCTTTTCTTTCCTACTAGTGACACCTAGTGGTAGCCCCTGACATGAGTTTTGTTATCTACCATGGAAAACGGGCTTTTCTACTGTGATCTTGCCCCTCTGTATCCAGGATAGTTTCACATGCTCCTTCTCACCTTTGTGAGCCCAACGGTTCTGTTCTGAGCATCTGGCTGTTTCTAGATAGACTTTTCTGGGACTAAGTCCTTCCTCTCAGAGAGGCTCAAAAACTGCCTTCAATCCTAAGCCAAAGTCTGTCTTGTGAGCTAGTGAAAACATCTATGTATTGCTAATTTCACTACAGGGAGGTTTGAAGAGTATCCACCAATCTGGATTTCCTGTTCCTTCAAGCCAGAAAAGGGTGATAGATAACATTACCCTTACTAGGCCATTGTGATTCAGATTGTGAGAAAGAGAGGGTATCACCTATCTGCTTATGACTCCTAAATGGAAGGCTCCATAATATTCATACCTTTCTGATGGTCCCACCTGGATATTGTGGCAGAAACAGTGGTGCTCACCAAACATCCCATCTACTACCCCATATTTCCCAACCCCACTTACAGTTGGTTGAGACCTGGTGACTAGTTTTGGCCAATGAACTGAGTGAAAATGCAGCCGCTCACTCTTAGACTGAGGCATAGCAGCGCTGATATCAGACCTCTTCAATCATCTCTTTTTCTGTCACAACAGTTGACATTCTAGATGGTAGAGCCTCCACCAGATGGGTCCCTGAGTGGAAAAGAGACTACCCACCCCTCCCTCAACTCACCAATTTCCACTAAGCTATAAAAGCCATGTAACTTAAGTGAAAAATAAACTTTTATTGTGTTAAACCACTGAAATGTTAAGGTTGGTTATGATTGCAAGATAGCGTATTTAATCTGATATATCATACATAGCTGTCTCCAATTTTATGTGTTCAAAATTGAAATACTTTTCTTCTATAAACCTATGCTTCCTTTGTCCCTGCCATCTCCATAAGTGACAACACTGTCCATCTACATGCTTAAGGTAGAAACCTGGGTGTCATAGATACATCTCTCTTTTCCTCACTCCTCCTGTGCAGAAAAGCTCGCATGGCTGACCTGAGACTTTTATCCTTAAAAAGCCCTGCTTGCAAGGTTGGCCCTTGACTGGCATCTGGGAACTTGGATAGTAAATAGTTCCCTGCACTGATATAAGGCTCCCTAAATAATAAGGGTGACTAAACTGTTTGTACAAACAACATAGTTTTATACTGACCACAATCTGCTTTCCTTCTGGGAGTCTAGAACTTTGGTACATTTTAGGTAGAAGTGCCTATGTGACCAGTCCTCAATAAAAACTGGGTACTGAGTCTCTAACGGGCTTCCTTGGGTAGAAACATTGCACACATGTTTCTGTGTTTTTATTGTTGGAGGTAGAATGAGCTCTGTGTGACCCTACCCCCACAAGGGGGAGAGAGGGTAAGGAAGACTTCGTATGGATTCTTCCATATTCCATTTGTGTCCTTTTCCCTTATGATCCAGCAGTGTATCTTTACAACATTTCTGTAAGAATCTGCGTGAGAAGAACTATATAATGAGTCCATGAGTCCTAGTAAATCCCCAGACATGAGGCGGTCTTAGGGACCTGCATAATATCTTGCCATATCTAATCCAGCACTAGACCCTGTCAATTCTACTTTCTAAAATGTATTTCAAATTACTCTGCTTCTTTCCTTAATCTGTTGTCACCACTCTGAAAGGTGCCATCATCTTTTATTTGTGTTGGATTTTTTAGACGACCCAATAAATAACACCTTTCTTTTCTACCTAAGTTTGGAACCAAACAGGAAGAGATCAAAGTATAAGCTTTATTTAATAATGAAAATCTGTATTGGGGTGACTTAAATATGCAGCCAAATGGACTTGCTAACAGCACCCTGAATTAAATTTATGTACCCTAACTGCTATCTTTAGAACTGTTCTCTTGAGATAATGGACCAGATTTTACCCTCTCTGCATGCACACAAATCTATAGAAAGGAGAAAGAAGTGGCTGAGCTGAACATACTTCCCCCTCCCCCCCAAAAGGTGGGCATGTGAAGGTTGGAGATTTTAAGATTTCTTTTTCCTGATTTTTATCTTCCAAGTGGAACCCTAAGTCCTGGGCATTAAGCAAATGATGTACAAACTGACCATAAATGGGGGCAGAGAGGGAAGTGTGGTCAGTGAACACCAGGAAGAATGCAAAGAGCCCCAAGCAAAACACTGGTATTGGTATCAAGCCAGGCTTAGCAAATATGCACAGTGTTATGTGGGCCCAGCAAAGGCACAGCCTAGAGGGCCTTAGACGATGAGGTCCTCAGCCCCTGACCTTGACCAATGGTCAGAACATATTCATTCCACCACATTGGGTTTCAACAGAGGTAGGGAGGCCACAAAGACTTTGGAAAGCAGGCCTAACTAAAGCAAGGAAAGCAGGCATAGCTAAAGCAATTTCGTAAATTATACGAAAAACATTTTTTGGTACATTGGCCT